ACAAACGGTTTGGAAAGCATACCTCACTCACAAATGGCTTGCCCGTAGCATTTTTACCGATTTTTTTTTCTCTTAAATTGACTTATCCACGTCGTCAACACTTCGGTCATCACGAACGGTGTAGTACTGATCACTAGGAAGAGTTTTGTAATCAAATTTAACGTATGATTCAACGTCCATAACTTCGAATACAGATTTTCCGCACAGCAACTGGTCGTATAAACCTTTTCGACGTTTAATAGTCTTTCTCTATCTAGCATACATGGATGAATGAACGGTTTGTTTTCCCACTAATCTGTTTCCCTCTTGCTCGTACTCTTTTTTTTTCCTTTGGTTTGTTTTTTTCCGTTGATCTTGTTTTCCGTGCTGAGCACCAATGCTACCGACGTGCCAGGAAGGCAGCTCCCACACCTGGACCCTACCTATCGACCCATCAACTCATGAACCGGGGACCAACGGCTTTACTTCCCTTGCGAAGGAAGGCGTTATCAAAGATGTTATGCCTCAGAACATCCCGGCGGCGCCGACTGGGATTGAATCCCGGCCTGCAGGGGTGAGAGGTAATCACGCTTACCACTACACCACCGGCGCCGTTACTGCTCGTACTCGTTCGATTTAAATGGTGTAGTAGTGTGCGCCGATTAAACGTCAAAAAGCTCTATAACTTCCGAGCAGGGTGGCCAAACCTACCGATTTATCGGCAGTCCTATCGATTTTCGATATGCCTACCGATTCACAGACAAAAGGTTAAAAACTACCGCTTTTTCACTTTTCCTACCGAGAATCACAGATTTTTAGTAATCTTGAAAAATATTCTAATTGATTTTGACTCGTTTAAAATAGAAGAACTGAAGGACAGTTACCCCCTCCGCTCATAAAGGTCCTTCTTCAGACGGCTACCGATAACTACCGTTAAAAGTTTTGAGAAGCTACCGATAATGAAAAAAAAAACAATCTGGCCACTCTGCTTCCGAGCTCTCGGTTAGACGGATGTGGCTTGTTTTTACCTTCGCTTTGGCTTCTTCTGCTTCTTAAACGTCTTTAGACCCATTCTTGTCTTGGCCCGCTGGACGTTACTTTTCGAGGATCCCACTTTTCTAGCCACGTCTCGAACCGAAGCCCTTTTTCTTGCGAGTGAAAGCTTGCACGATTTTCCGGTTCAGATTTTGGCCAATAGGGTTCAGTTTACCTCCAAATTTTTGCGTGTCCTGGAAAGTTGCTTCATCACCATACTTCCGAATCGCGTTTCGAACGGCTCCGATGCTTACACCTTCCAATTTCGCTAATTTACTCAGAGAAATGTTGGAGATTTAGCTGAAAGTCTCCTTAATAATGATATTTAAACAGTGGCGTTTCCTTAACCTCAATCCACCTGTGCACCAACTGTCTAAACATAAACAAATTATCAAAATATTGCCTGAAATGGATAGATATCGAGTAAACTAGAAGATTAAGTGTATTTTTCAACCGATTCGAGTATGAATATGACGTTAAATCTGGTTTTGAAAGTTGGTGCACAGGTAAAAAGTGAGGTTACGGGACGCCACTGTATTTAAAAGAAAATGGGTATAGTACACCATTTGTGCACGATCTGTTTGCGCTTTTCCAGAGAAATGCTTCGCATTGTCACGGAAATGTAAAAAACCGCAACTAGCGATACGCGAAACTGTTGGTCGAAATGTAAACAATGATTCAGCGTGATAATCAGCTGTTTAAACGGCATCTGAAACAAGCAGGGGTGTTCGAAAGTCATGCTTAGACATTCTGGGATACCCTATATTCACTTATTCACCTTTATGTAAATCCGACCTGAATGATTCATTATTGTGTGCTAGATCAGAGCGAACAAATGTTAACGCGTTCAAGATGCATTTTACCTAAAAGGTGCTACGAATTTTTCACCGGCGTGACATAAATTTATTCGGCGGCGTGGGAGATTTTACTTCGGCGGCGCGCCGACTTAATTTCATCGGCGGCGGCGGCGGCGTATGAAAATCGTCGGCGACGGCGGCGTGGCGCGGCGGCGCACAGGTCTACTGCCAGGGGCTATCACTGGGTTTTTCTTGGCGTTATTCGTCCGTGAGCCATGGGGGTAGTACAGCAGTTCTGGTGTGGGAATGATGTCCGCACTGCAGGTGCCCCGTGCACTCGAGGCACAGTATTCTTGGTTCGCTCTGTTCGGGTGCAAAGGCTACCCGAGACGGAAGTCGAACCAGTTTGGCGGTGCTTGGTTGATTGCGGTGAAGTTGTTTTTTTTTCGAGATCATTTGGGATGTCCGGTGTCAGGCGGGGATAACCGAAGAGACTTCGGTATTTTGGGAAGCAGGGTTATGCGTGGTGGCCGTTACGGGGGGCTTATAACGAAGTTCGGTCGCTTGGAGGACTTTGGAGTGTAGGTGTTAGGTAGTGGCGTATGGACACCCATGCCTGGGTTCGAGCTGAGGTCGGGAGTGATAGTTATGTCGTTAGCGCTCTCCGGTGAGATGAAGACGTCGCTGCTGACGTCGACTAGATCGTCCGAGCTCTTGGGATTTCTGGGTGGTGTGATTGATACGGGAATCGCGTTTTGTTTTTCAGTGTTCACTTTGGTTGGAGACATTGATTAAGATCATTCCATTATACCATAGAGGTAACTCTAAGACCAGAAGGTCCCGAAGAAACGTGCTAAACTGTTTGGCTCATCTCTGGTACTCCCTTCGGTCCCAAGCTAATCGATGCACTCCTCGAAACATAGGAAAATTCACGAACCCCTCATTTTATCTGTCAAACTTTTATAGCGAATCAAAACAAACATAGTGTAGTACTAGAATTTCCACTGGAATGGGGTACGTTAATTGATTTGCTTGGGACCCATAGGCTAGTCAAGTAGTGAGCCAATTTAAAATCGTTAGTTTCCACCGGTTGATTATACTATGTTCGATTTTATATAAGTTAAGAACGAACACTCTTGGACCACAACCAACCGCTTCATCGGTGCATCTCTATTATCGGCTTCACCGTCATCCATACCATCAGCAACAACAGTAACCAATCACTTCATTGGTACATATCTATTATCGTCATCATCGTCATCATCCATACCAACAACAACAACAACGACAACGCCGATGACGACGACTAAGACTCAGCAATCGATATAGCAGCCACTACCCAGCACCCAAGTCCAAACATCAGCAATTTTTCCCTAGCAACACAAAAGTAGCACAGTAACGAGTAAGGCATATTCCTACATAAGCAAATGGCCATCCGGCAGCCAACGATGTCACCAACCCTTGGACCTGCCAACGATCGCAGACACCTCAGCAGTTCCACGTTCCCTCTTTAAATTTATCTTACTCAGCTGATTGATAGGGCTTCGGTAGGTTTGGTTATAATAGAATTCAATAAATCAGTATCAGACCTCAGTAGAGTTAACTAGTGTTTTTTTAAACTTAAGTCTGGATGACACATCGAAAAGTTATAAACCCTGCATTAAATTATATACAAATTCACCTAGCTCGGAACGTTTGGTACGGCATTCAAGCGTAACTATTCAAATCGACGTATCTGATTGTGTATACAATTACTTCAATCGACGATTAGTGGCAACTGCTAGCTCACTCAGAGAAACAAACGACACCAGCTAGTAGGAGAAGGGTTCCCCTACCTGATGATGGTGTTTGTTTGCGTGGGTGACTTCCCAAGTAACAATTTGGGTTTTATGATGGTTCTGAAGACTATGATTTAGGCTAAGGACGCTTTAAAACCATGATAAATCTTGCAATGTTACTTGGGTTAGCAGTTAAGACAAATCGACGATTGAAGTGATTGTTTACAAAAGCAGATACGTCGATTTGAATAGTTGCGCTTGATATAGGGGAAATGGATGTAATGTCGGCCTAAATGTCCCTAATTTGGGACCATACATAAATTCAGCAATCGACTAAATTTTCAATAGCGACCAAAAATATCCATCCAGATAAAATTGATAAATAGCAGATTTTTTGCGAAGGGCCCAATCTTATGTCCACAGACTAACATTAGAACCATTTCCCCTATTTGATCTCGAATAATTTCACAGAATCATCTTTGCGGTAAATGCAACGCCGTTTTGATGTTTGTGTCATATCTCAAATATGCTGCAAATATCAATGTTGACAAGACATATGATTTTGCGTTATCCAACCTTATCATTTTCCGGGATGCTTTCTCGTACTGGGTGCGTGTTCGAGCAAGAACTATGCCGGCCACCGAAGGTCTTACTTTGCTGCTGTTTAGCAGCCACCGAAAAATGTACAAAGTCCGGTTTGCATGAACCGAATTACTGACCGGGGGCTTGGGTCGCCACAAGCCTTTTTCGTCCAGGAAACACCACTATTTCTTCAGATGTAGGCCACTTGAGAAGCTCGTCGACCTTTTCACTAAGGTTCGACTGAAGCTACACTAATTAAGTACCACCGCACAATTGACAAAGTCCCGCAAAGTTGCACGTCGAACGTTAAGTACCCAGACCGTGATAAGAAAGTGAAGCACAGAACTATCGACCGCACGTCTGTTTCAATTCGTTTGTAAATGACTACTAATCAATATACAATTTTTACATAGGGAGTGGGTTTGCATCGATCGTTTTGGTTAACGGTCAGTGATCGGTGGACGGAGGCTGATTGCGCATGCGCGCTCTATCCACTCTTTACAGAGAGATTTACACTGTAGGGTGTTGTGTGGTGCGTTTAGGTAGATATTTAAATAAATGCATGTTAGCTCCATCTCCAACATTCCGGCCACCTTGAAACGCGGAGGCGTTTCAACAATCATCAGCGACTTCAATAAATCGGTTGCGTGTTGATCTACGGTGCAGTTGATCGATTCCATCGTGGATCCTCGCCAAAGACATGGAACAAAAAAGAAAGACCAGGTAGATCGAACGACGAAGCTTAGGGATATTGGAAACGCAATTACCTGAACTAAGCGCGGGAGCGCTTCGAGCAAGTTTTCCCTTTCGGGTTGCTCTACCTGGATATTTAGAGGGCTGGATTCGGTGACGGTAGCAGAGCGATCCTTGCTACTGGACGGACGATGTCCTTGCCAGGTGCTGTTCGTAATGTGACGACTCGGACGACACCATCCTTGCCTGGATGGAGCTTGGTAATTCTACCGAGCGGCCAGCTGGCTGGAAGAACGTTGTCCTCCTTAACGATAACGATTCTGTCGACTTCCACAGTGACAGGTGGATTGCAGCCTTTGATAGCACGTGACTGCAATTGTTGCAGGTATTCGGGATACCAGCGAGACCAGATGTTCTGAAGATGTTTCTGGGTCAGCTCGTACGAGTTAAGGCGATTGTCAGGAACCCCACGCAGGTCGGCTTCCGGAACAGCATGCAAATTACTTCCGACGAGAAAGTGTCCTGGAGTAAGAACCTCCATATCGGATGGCTCACTCGGCATTGATGTTAGCGGACGGGAGTTGAGGCACATCTCGACTTGGGCTAGGAGAGTCAACATGTCTTCGTAGCCGATGCTGATGTTCCCGATGGTCTTCAACAGGTGCTTCTTCGCAGACTTCACGGCAGCCTCCCACAAGCCTCCAAAATGAGGCGCTCGAGGTGGAATAAATTTCCGACGGATCTCGTTCTCGGAACACCAGTTCAGGACTTTCTCACGGTCGGAATCGTTCACCTTCAGCATCTGGTAGACACGGTACAGTGCGTGCGAGGCTCCTTTGAACGTAGTGGCGTTGTCTGAATGCAGTTCAGCAACCTTTCCTCTGCGGGCGACTAATCGACGAAGAGCTGCTAGGAATGCCGCTGTAGTAAGGTCACTCACTAGCTCGATGTGCACAGCCCTTGTAGCGAAGCAGACGAAGATCGCTACGTATGCCTTCGTTGGGATGCGATTGCGGACGGGTGACTTCAGTAAGAACGGTCCACAGTAATCAACGCCGCAGACGGAAAAGGGTCGAGTTGGTGAGACTCGGGATGCCGGTAGATCTGCTGGGCTCTGCTGGACTAGTGTGGGCTTGCTACGAAAGCAAGTGTGGCAATGGTGAAAGACGGATTTTACAAGATTTCTGCCGCCCATAATCCAATACTTCTGGCGGAGAGTGGCTAGCAGGAGTTGCGGGCCTGCGTGCAGAAGCTTCAAGTGAAAAGAACTAGCCAGCAGAGTCGACAGTGGATGTTTGGCAGCGAGCACGATCGGATGCTTGACAAAGTCGGAGAGTTCAGCGTTTCGCAGCCGGCCACCAACACGAAGGATACCGTCTTGATCGATGAATGGTCTCAGCCACTTCAGCTTGGATGACTTAACGACTCTTTCACCACTGACAAGATCGGAAATCTCTTCTGAAAATGTCTGCTGTTGTGCTAGACGACATAGGCGTAGTTCTGCACGTTGAAGTTCCATGGTGGTGAGTGGAGGAATTGGCTTGTCTTGAATGCCGATGCTGGTGTACTTGTCCGGATCTGAACGGCGCAGCGATGCACGTTCTCGTAAAGAACGAACGTAGCGTAAGCAGACAGCTGTAACACGACGAAGCTTGGAGAAACCAGAGTAACGAGCAAACAAATCGTCGCAGAAGTCCACCTGAACAACGGTCATCGCAACGAGTGTTGCCTTACGAACTTCTTCATCAGTCGCTCCCGTTTCTTCTTCGGATGGAATTGGTTTCGGCCAGGCTTCCGGAGCACGTGACAGCCACTCAGGACCGTTCCACCAGCGCTTGCATTGCAGAAGGTCCACTGGATTCAGTCCTCGCGAGATATCATCAGCAGGGTTCTCGATGCCAGCAATGTGTTTCCAGCAGTTCACGTCGCTTGCGTGCTGGATTTGCGCTACTCGATTCGCTACGAATGCCTTCCAACGGCTAGGCGATGATTGTAGCCATTGAAGAACGGTGGTGGAATCCGTCCAGAAGAAAGCAGTGGCAGATATCTTCAGGGCAGCATTCACCTTCTTGTAGAGCTGCGTCGATAATCGTGCAGCGCAGAGTTCTAGCCGGGCTATCGAATGCCGACTGGATAACGGCGCAACCTTGGATTTGGCCGTCAGAAGTTGAATTGAAACACCGTCACTAGTTTCGGCCCGCACGTAACAGCAGGTCCCATACGCTCCCTTGGAGGCGTCGGCGAAGAAGTGAAGCTGAATGCTAATAGCGTTAGGCAGTGAGACGAATCGTGGAACACGAACTTCACTCAGTAAATGGAGAGTAGCATGAAAATTTTTCCATTCTTCTTGCAGCTTGCGGGGAAGTGCAGTATCCCATTCGCAATCTTCACCATTCTACTTCAAGGCCCACAAACGCTGCATGAAAAGTTTGGCGACAACGATCGTAGGACCCACGAGACCAAGCGGGTCAAAGATTTGAGCGATGTAAGACATCACCTTACGCTTCGTCAGGATCGCAGCGGGAAGTGGTAGCTGGACCTTGAACCGAAGTACGTCATTCGATGGTTCCCAGACGAGACCGAGAGTTGAAACGGCTGGCTCATCTTGTAGGTCGTGTAGAGGGTTGAGTGCCAGATCTTCCGGTGGAACGTCCTGGAGAACCTCAGGAATATTTGATGCCCACTTCTTGATTGGAAATCCAGCAGCACTGAGCATCTCTGTTACCTGCTTGCGAAGCTGGATGGCAGATTCTACATCGTCGGCACCAGACAGAAAATCGTCAACGTAGAAATCGTGGATCACCGCTTCTACAGCAACTGGAAATTGGTCTCCATTATCTAAAGCGATTTGTTGCAGAGTCCTCGTGGCCAAGAACGGAGCAGCCGCAGTACCGTAGGTGACTGTCTGCAGTTCGTAGGTGGAAATCGGATCGGTGGGGCTCTTCCTGAAGCGGATTCGTAGGAATCTTCGGTCGCTGGCGAAATGAAGCATTTGGCGATACATTTTCTCCACGTCGGCAGCCATAGCAACGAAGCGAATGCGAAACCTCAGCACCAGTGCTTGAAGATCTTCCTGAACGACTGGACCAACCAATAACGTGTCGTTCAGTGAATATCCCGACGACGTCTTGCACGACGCGTCGAATACGACCCTGACCTTCGTTGTTGTACTCGACTCCTTGAAGACAGCGTGGTGCGGGATGTAGCAATGAGGAATGTCATCGTCTACCGGTTCGTCAAGCTTATTCATGTGTCCTAATTCGAGGTACTCGTCAATGAAGCGGTGGTATGCATCCTTGGTAGCAGGATCACGTTCGAGTCGCCGCTCGATGCTTCGAAGACGACGATCTGCGATTTCCCGGGAGCTTCCTAGGACAACTTCGGGATTGTCGGTTCGAGGAAGACTGACGATGTACCTCCCAGATGGATCACGAGTAGTGGTCGCTGTGTAGTGTTGCTCACAGCGATTTTCTTCCACAGATAGTGGTGGACCATCGGAGATGGTTTCGATTTCCCAGAACTTCAGGAGTGCGGTTTCTAGAGGATCGTCCTTTGTCGAAAGATTGCAGATCCGAGGAATGCATTTTGACTGATTGGATGTTGTTCCAGCGACAGCCCATCCGAATGGCGTTTCAGTCAACCATGGAAGATCATTTCCCAATGAAATCTTCCGACCAGTGTGTAGCTCCCAGAAGGCTTCACTTCCGATGATAAGGTCTATCCTTCCTGGGATATGGAATCGTGGATCTGCGAGAGTAACATCCGGGAAATTCCACGACGAAATATTGATCGGAATTGTAGGCAGCTCCGCTGACGGATTCTTGAGGACTAGGAATTGAAGTTTCGTGGAGAATTCCTGCGTCCGCGATTGAACCGTTGCGGTGATAGCGCTTTTAACGTTCTGCGTCGAGAGGCTGATTCCTGCTATTGATATGTCCACCTTTGACCGTGGGTTGAATAACCGCTTCGCCAGCGGCTTCGAAATGAAGTTGGACATTGACGCCGAGTCCAGTAAGGCCCTTGCCTGATGCTTTCTGCCATGATCATCGACGATATTCAGGACAACCGTTTCCAGCAGAACGATGCTGCATGCAGTTTGGACTGCCATGCTGACATTGGGTGAAGCGGAGCTCCCACATGAAGGACCCACACTTGTGGATGGAATCGGTTGCTGTACAGGAGAAGATGATGATCCGGAGGAACTCGAAAATGCCTTGGATGTACCGGAATCGTGCAGCAGAGAATGGTGTCGTTCATGGCACGTTCGGCACGTAAACTTCGAGGCGCACTTTTTCGATTGATGTCCGCTTCCCAGACAGTTCCAGCACAACCGTTTCTGCGTCACGAATTCTCGGCGAAGGCGTACATCCTTCCCGAGGAATACTGGGCAGTTGCGAAGGACGTGGTTGTCAGAACAGGACAGCGGACAAGAAGCATTCGAACTGGAGGATGCAGTGGCGTTTGCTGCGAACTTGAACTTGGAGGGCTTCGGTGTGCTACCGGCCACCTTTGAAGATGCCGGTTGCTGCTGTTGATCGTAGCCAACGGAGTTTAACACTCGAACACGCTGGTAGAGGAATTCTACCAGTTCGTCATACTTGACGTCGTCCTTTTCGCTCGTCTTCTCTTCCCAGGCTCGCAAAGTGGATTGATCCAGCTTGTACGACAGGAGATTTACCAACGGAGTATCCCAATGCTCCACAGGTTCGTTCAATTTCGCGAGCGCGCGTACATGGCGCTGGAAATCATCGACCAGGTTGTGGATGCGTTTAGCAGACTCCTGCTTCACCGCCGGCAAATCGTAGAGTGTTGTATTAGATTAGATTGGATTAGATTAGGACCAATCTTTCTTGATCTGTGTTGATTATTATCAGTCAGGTGGACTGCATCACCGATCTACGGTGATTTTTGGTTCTCTTTTAAAATCAAAACATTACCGATATTCAAAAAAGCATGCCCATTTTCCTAATGATCAAACTTAATACTCCGCGCATCGAGCACCGTCGCTATTCCAGCGAACACTGGAAAGCTCGCGGGGTAGTTCCAACTGGTGCAGTTGCATTAATTACTCCACTGCAATGTTGCAATGTGATTATGTATCTACGCTTCGTACGTTAATAGACAGACCTAGTGCAGCTTCTGCTCTCCGGCTGCATCGGTAGGTAGATTGCCAGTGTCGGTGGCTCCATTCTGCTAATATCTGATAGACTGCTAAATGAGTGTTGCTGATGCGATTTGTGCGACGGAGATTGAGAATCTCGTTCCACGTGCTTTTGAGGGGGGGAGGGGATTAAGCAGAAGGGTGATTCGTAAGACGAGCATTTTCTGCGGAGAGCAATTAAAGAATTACGGCCATTTATCATTTTCACGACCGAGTGCAAGCGCAAAACCTAACTTGCAACAGGCAGTCAGTGATTGCAGGTTGCAATCTCGGAGAAAATTTCCATGGAATGTAATCAAATGCTGTCTGTCATTACGAGCTGCTAACTGCGTGTATTGCGTTTAGTATAATGCGTTTTTGATAGCGATACTCTTCCCTGGCATGCAGTTCTATCTTTGTAATCTAGACGTTAGCTGGGGTGTCGGACATGCGATTCCCGCTTAATTGATTTGCTGTGGGAATCATCAACACGATTATTCCTATGTGAGTAGCGTTGTCAGAGTTTATCGATCGGTATCTCGTAGTGGAATTAACCGGAGCTCCGGAGTTCTTGTGCCTAAAACACTTTCTCTCCAAGTTAGAGCTGACATGCACCGGAACCATCCATTGTCGGAGCAGGGCTACATCACCATCGTACATGCATAGTAGTAGCAGAATGAAATTTGCCAAGGCATTCCTCGGGCCAATTCCACATCCATCCGTCCGGCCAATTCGCATTCCAGACCGTCGTCCGTCCGTTCGGGTGGTTATAGTTACTGTTACAGTTCCGCATCCGTCCCTTGAGTTCGTTCGTAGCACAATGGAGGAGGCATAATTTATTATCCCGGCGATGAAAACCGATCCGGACCAGTTGCTTGCTGTATTAAATTGCTGTAGGTGGAGCAGTTTCGTAAAATGGATGTGAATTCCGCAGAAAGCAATTGCTGCGATTGTCAAAACCATAATGCATGTTTCGGGGTCGAATTAATTTCAGGGAATCTAAATCAAACCTGGAATTTCTTTCCAACCCAGAGAATCGAATTGCATCATAGAACCTAGACAAGTTCCATTGTTGAATAACGTTCCCACAATGATTCGAATCCGTGATGGTTTGTTTGCAAATGTTTCATATCAACTGACAATTTACAAACCAACGACGACGGTAGCAGCATTCCGGATCCGGACGATGAGCGGCATCGTCGTCGTCGTCGTCGCCATTGTGGAGCAGATGACTGCCTACAATGTTGAGATTTTTCTCGTGCTGAGAAGCAGGAAGAATGCTGGCGATGTAAAATCTATCCACACAACAATTGAACTGTATCTGTCTGCCCGTTTATGGTCTGTATAGGAACCAAGGCTTCTGATCTGCAGACATAGTTGGAAGGTAAAACATGGATTACATTGTAGAGCAAATAGTTGAGTGTAGCGCTTTGGCAGGTGTTCGGCATTGAAGGAATTTTGTAGCAGGAAAATGGTTTGGAAAGATTGGTCTAGTGGGAAATGCATTTTCCCTTACTGTTAGGAAGCTAACGTTTCCATATCAATGTAGTGTAAAAACATTAATCGGAAAGCTCTCTCGTTACATGTGAAAAGGATTTGTCTTTGTAGATAAATTAACTTTTCGGTTGATTGCCGAGCTGCAAAAACGAGTTGTTCGTTTCACATACGCGCTGAAAATATTTCAAATCGATCAGAAATATGTTTATCTTACCATTCAGGTTTGATATGGTTGTTTCTCTTGGCTACTCCATGAGTAACCAGCTCTGTAAATTGATTTAATTTTTGATAAATCAGAACTAGCTGGGCGCAAAATATCGATCTTTGAAGTCCCACGAGCTTTAGGGAATATCCAAAATGTTTGTTTCGAAATCATCGGGGAAGTGTCGAGGACTATATGAAAGTCCTGTACTTTGGGAAGTTTAAAGATCTTTAAGGGTAAGTTCTGAGAAGTTCAAGACAGTTCCATGAATTTAAAAAAAAAATCGTGAGTGAATTTAAAATTTCAGATCTTCACTGACAGTTGCATCAACTTCAAAAACTTTACAAGAACTTCGAGCAATCTTCTGATAAGTTTAAAAATCTATATACAAAAATTAGAGGGTTTCGGAAAAGTTTTAAGAAATTCAGAGCAGATCCATGAGCATTTTGCAACAATTAGGAAATTCATAAAATTTCAGAAATTTCTTGTATAGTTCAACGTCTTTCGATAAATAAACTGTCTGCACACCTTTTATTTTTTAATTATTGACATTTACATACATGCATGCATTCATGTCATATTCATTAATTCATTGTGCGTTCACTTATCTTGATATCTTGTTAACGGGTCTCCTTCATCTTGCTGAATCGGCTTCTTATACCTTCTTCACTTCTGATCATTTGTTGCTTGTTGGAATTCTTCTTCAATCACTCTTTAATTTCTCTCCATACTTCAGATTATTTCCTTTACTTCTTCGACATCTTCTTTCTTCATCCTTCTTTATTTCCATTGCCTTGATTTCCTCTTCCACGTATTCACGATTTCTCCAATTTTTCACCGGTGTCGTCTTCTTCATTTCGCTATTTTCCGCTTTATCTTGTTGATCGTCTTCATCTTCTTCCGCTTTATTTTCCGTTCCACCTTCGCTTCATCATAATTTTTCTTTTCATCTTCTTCTTCTTCTGCACAATTCACGTTGTTTCTCCTTATTCTTTCCATCCGCTATCCGCATTGTGTTCTTCATTACCTTCACCTTCTTTACATGACCGTATCAATTTTGTCCCATTGGGTATTTTCTCTTGAAAATTTGGGTAAAAGTAGTTTATAGTGTATTGTTTACATTGTATTTTTATCGCTGTCAGTTTTTCGAAAGCTCGAAAAAATTTCACCCAAAAAGTAGCGTCGCGAATTGATTTTGCGCAAGCACCTGGAAAATCATCAACTCTCTCATCGGGACATCAGAAAACAACTCGGAATCGTGCAGTCAACGGTGAGTCGTGTGATTATACATTACTACGAAACTTTTTTTTTTACACTTTATTTTTTGAGATTTTTAGCCGTAGGCTAGTTCATCTCGTCCATGAAAGGTGGGGCCTCAGAAGGAGGACCCCCAACAGAGTAGTTTTTTACAGTGTTTACTTCAACTGGAAATTGATTCCTGGCTCGATCTGAATAAGACAGAGCTCCACACGGGGGAACCGGGAGGGCCCCCACCTGGCAGAGATGTCCCAACATCTCTCCGGCTTTGAACCTGTCCTTAAGCCGGCTTTCGATTTTCGGTAATGGTGTTGCCTCCATGCCAGTGGACCCTGGCCACTGGGGGAGATCTTCGTTGGCAGCCGTGCGGAGAAGTGTGTTCTCCTCGTCGAGGAGGAAGATCTCTTGATTTCCGGATGTCTTCGAGATGAAAGCAGCGGCTTTGGTTGCGATAGCTGCGGTTATAGGAAGCGGAATGGCGGGATGCCTGCGTCGATGCATGCAGCGTGGATGGCAGCAGCCAGAGCTAAAAGCTTATCCGTTGCGATGCAGGTCATCTCCAACCCGTATAGAAGGCGACTGTCGATAATTGCACTCGCTACGTGAAAACGGATACTGCGGTTGTTCGATCTATTCTGTCGGGAAATAGTCCGGATCAGATTCACTCGGCTGCGGCAATTTTTCTTTACTGCACTGAAATGCTGTCCAAAGTTGAGGAATCGGTCAACGAGAACTCCCAGTACTCGGACGGTCTTCTTCAGCGGTAGAAATGATCGTCGATTTTGATCGGTGGTCCACTAATTCTGTGTCGAGAAGGGCAGACATGGCACCGGATGCTTTTAGAGGCTGATAATTCAAAGTCTACTGAGTGGGGCACCTGGCGACGGCGGAGACTGCCACTTGGGCTCTCATCCTTGTACGTACTGGCGTGGGTCCGGTGGTGACGATGAGGATATCGTCAGCGTCGACGAACACATGTACGTTCTTCGGTAGTTGACGGAAGACTCCGTTCATCGCCACAGGGTAACGACGATAACCGATCCTTGTGGGACACCCGTGTCCTCTGAGAAAAGCCGGGATTTGGTGTTGCCAACTGCGACACGGAATGAGCGGTTGGACAAGAAGTTCTGGATGAAGTAAACGATGGGTCCGTTAAGACCCCTGTCGATTAGTTGCTTAAGGACGAGGGGCGTCCACGTTCTGTTGAAGACCTTCGATATGACGAGCGATACTATCTCGGTGTGCAGACCACTGTCGTAGGCGTTATTGAGAACTTCCCCTAGGGTTGCGAAATTGGTGGACGTTCCGAAACCTTGTCAGAAAGCGTGCTGTCGGTGATCAAGGAAATTTCCAGCTTCGAGGTGTTGCTTCAGTCTTCGATTGACTTTGGCCATACAACATGTTAGTGCTATTGGACGGAATTTGCTGACTTCATGGGTGGCTACCCCGGCTTTCGGGATGGGAACTACCAAGCTTTCCTTCCATACTGCAGGGTACCCGTTAGTGAGCCAGAGCTTGTTGAAGAGGTCTAGCATCCGTAGCTGTCCTGGTACCGGTAGCCTCTTGAGTAGAGGATATCCGATTTCGTCGGGTCCCGCTGACTTCCCGTTGCTGCAGCGAAGGGCATGCTGCAGATCCTGCCAAGAGAAAGCTTGGTTTATACCGGTACTGGTGGTATCGGGGGGTACTATGAAGTCTGCGATGGATGCGGTCGATGGCTTGGTTTTCTGCTTGAACTTGGTGTCATACTTGTCAATGGTTGTGAGCTCAGCGAAGTAGGTACCGAGTTCATCAGCTACCGTTTCCGGATCGGAAACCGTGGAACCGTGCGTCGTTTCCCACTAAGGGCGTTGATTCGCTGCCAGAGATCGGCCGATGATTGCGATGCGTTCATCCCTTCCAGGAAATCCATCAAGCTGAATCGCTTGGCATCAGGGATTTCTTGTCGGCATTGGTTGTGTAGTTCACGGTAGTGCCAAAGTGCCTCCTCTCTGTCGTAGTGTCCGATGGGGGAGCCGCTTTACACGTCGAAGTGGCTTGCGCCGGGCTTTGACTGCCTTCTTCGTATCTTCATTCCACCAGCGGAGGGCTGTTGGTCTTGACGATGGTGGCCGTTGCTGCTTCGTATATGGCGTCCGAGAGGTCCTCGATACTGTCCGGGTTCCGCTGTAGTAGTAGACTATCCACAGTGGCACCGTAGCTTTCCCAGTCCACTTGTTCATTAAGCCATCGTGGCCTCCGTGTTACCGCCGGGACGAAGGTCACCGAGAGTTGAATTTGTATGGGGTAGTGGTCACTACCGTACAGGTCAGAGTTAACGTTCCACTGCGTTTTACCAGCGATATGGCGACTGTTACACCGAGCACCATCGTTCAAGATGACCATATCTTCCTTCTCAAATATGTCCACGAGGTCCGTGCCACCAAGGTCCGACCGAGGGCAACCGCAATTTGAGTGTTGCGCGTTGACGTCCCTAACTAGGATGCGTGGTTCAGGTAATTTAATTAGGGTCTAACTGAGTTGATAGTTGAGGCTGCCGATTCGTCCACATGGCAAATAAACGCAGGCACTAGCAATAATCGCACCTCGGTTGTACCTCATTGGTTACGATATCGTCACTGCGCAAAGTTGTTACTACGAAACTCTGAGCATCGAACGGAAGAAGAAATGCGGTCCAAATGGATGTTCTATTAGTGATTATGATCACAAGCGTGTCGTGAAAGCATTTAAGCGGAATCCCAATGCTTCGGTCAGGGATGTGGCCAAAAAGTTGAATCTGTCCAAGTCTTTCGTTCAGAGAGCCAAGGACCGGGAGGAACTGCATACGTACAAAGTGCAGAAGGCTCCAAATCATGATGAACAGCAAAATACGGTGGGAGAGTCACGGACCCAGAAACCGTACTCCCAGATACTGACCAAGCTTCATTGCCTCATCATGGATGATGAGACTTACGTCAAGGCGAACTTCCGGCAGCTTCCGGGGCTACTGTTCTTCACGGCCCAGCACAAGTTTGATGTTCCGGAGGAAGTAAGGAGGCAGAAACTTTCATAGTTTGCCAAGAAATACATGATTTGGCAAGCGATCTGCTCATGTGGCAAACGGAGTGCTCCGTTCGTGACTACCGGGACTGTAAACGGGGAGATCTACCTCAAGGAGTGTCTACAGAAGTGTCTGCTTTCTCTGTTGAAGCAACACGAGGGCCCTACGATCTTCGGGCCGGATCTAGCTTCGTGTCACATTTCAAATGTTATCCTGGAGTGGTACGAAGTAGTAGAAGTAGTACTTTCGTACCCAAGGATCTGAGGCCCATCGAAAAGTACTGGGCTATTATGAAGCAGGCACTACGGAAGTATCCCAAGGAGGTCAAATCTGAGGAAGACATGAAGAAAAAGTGGTAATTTTCTAGCATGTTCATCATCCATTACGTGGTCGGATTGATCCCATGACTTTAGTGTGCGCAGAACACCGTGCCGCCAAGTAGTAACGTAGTGACAGATCCAAGGAGGCTATCACATAACATATGTGGAACGTCATGCAAAACTGCTGACTAAATGTTGACTTTTTTTTGTGTTTCCTCAGTCCTCAATTTTCGTGATTCGACACTGATTCTTCATATGGGCCAATGTCGGAAACGTAATTAATGGCTGCTTTCATACATATCTTGTAATTCAAAGTCAATCCATGTAATCCAGCAATGCTATCAGCTACATGAGCGAGTTTTCATTCTCAAGAAATTCGTGGAAAAGTCAGTGTTTACGTTTGTGACATTGGCCCTTATGAAAGAAAAGCAGATATTTGGTTGCATTATCAGTGCACGCTATTTGAAAACTACCCAAATTTGAGCAAAATCAACCCTGATCAGTCAATACTGAATCCATCTAAACTATGTTGAGAATGACAGGATAACAGCTGAAAAATGTCGGTCGAATCCATGCCAATGTTGCCCATGTGTCAGCTTGTCACTCCTAACATAGTTTACCCATTTTTTAGTAGGTTCTGTTGTGATGGATCTGGGAGGATTCCACCCAAATTTGAGTAGTTTTGAAATAGCCTTTAAGTATTGACGTTGACGGTTGCATTTTAACTCTTTACTCCTATGGTAAAATCCCATAAGCATCTGTTTTACTTGAACTTTACTTTAAATGATCTTTATTTCAGTTCAACTTGGATGATTACCATATACATTTTTCTAAGTGATTTAATTGCTTTCTTCATCTTTAGGTATGGGCAAAATTCAAAATTTGTTTTATAGAATTAGTCCTAGACTTAGTACACGGTCGACCACCTTGGTGGGATTGGTTCGTTTTGTTTTTAGAATTTGAAGAGATACTACTTAATACTACTATTTACAGCTTAAAACTAACCTACTCTACTATATACACTTAACCTAATATGTACAAATTGCTTATTAAAGCATGTTCAGAAAGATTGCATTTTTGGATAAATTTGGGAATTTCTGCCTCTTGATGGAGGTCTGCTATTCTTGTGTCGAATGGACGATCTAGGATCATCCTCAACACTCTATTCTGTGCAACCTGGATTTTGTTCCTGTGAGAGGCGGGATCTGCGGCAAATGAGCGGATACAAACACCTAACCAAGGCGGAGCACTTAACTAGGGTTTTCTCTATGTGCGAGCGGAACAGGAGCTTCTCATCGAACAACATCCCGAGATAAGTAACATCAGCGGACCACTCGACCCTTGTAAAGGGTGATACGGTCAAAATTTGGTCAATATCAACTTGACGTATTTCTTTCAATTTTGCATTTAAAAAACCTGAACAACCCTCATTTTGAATGTGTGTGTGTGTAGAATGTTGCTCCCATTTTGATTTTGGAATTCACTCTTCAGTTGTCAAAATGCCGTCCAAGCAAGAAGAGCAGCGTATCAAAATTTTGCTCGCGCATCGCGAAAATCCGAGCTACTCGCACGCAAAGTTGGCAAAATCGCTAAAAGTTGCCAAATCAACCGTTACAAATGTAATTAAAGTGTTTGGGGAACGTTTGTCGACAGCCAGGAAGTCTGGATCGGGGGGAAATCGAAAACCGGAAGCCGCTGAGACGACAAAGAGAGTTGCCGGTTGTTTCAAGCGAAACCCTAACCTCTCTCTCCGAGATGCCGCAAATAAGCTGGGTGTATCGTCTACAACCGTGCATCGAGCCAAAAAACGAGCCGGACTATCGACTTACAAGAAGGTAGTGACTCCAAATCGCGATGATAAACAAAGTATGACGGCCAAAGCGCGATCCCGGAGGCTGTACACGACGATGCTGACGAAGTTTGACTGCGTGGTAATGGACGACGAAACCTACGTCAAAGCCGACTACAAGCAGCTTCCGGGACAGGAGTTTTATACGGCAAAAGGCAGGGAAAGGTAGCAGATGTTTTCAAGCACATGAAACTGTCAAAGTTCGCAAAGAAATATCTGGTTTGGCAAGCCATCTGTACCTGTGGCTTGAAAAGCAGCATTTTCATAGCTTCCGGGACTGTCAACCAAGAAATTTACGTGAAAGAGTGTTTGAATAAACGTCTGCTGCCTTTCCTGAAGAAACACGGTTGTTCCGTACTGTTTTGGCCGGATTTGGCATCTTGCCATTACGGTAAAAAGGCCATGGAGTGGTACGCCGCCAACAACGTGCAGGTGGTTCCCAAGGACAAGAACCCTCCCAACACGCCAGAGCTCCGCCCAATTGAGAAATACTGGGCTATTGTCAAGCGGAACCTAAAGAAGACCAAAAAACTGCTAAGGGCGAGCAGCAGTTCAAGGCAAACTGGCTTTCTGCGGCGAAGAAGGTGGACAAGGTGGCTGTACAAAATCTGATGGCAGGGGTCAAGCGTAAGGCCTGGCAATTCGGATTTGGAAAAGCGGAAGCCTAACTGAATATTTTTCCTGAATTTTATACTAATTGAACTTGAAAAAGAAATTTAATTTGATTTTTTAAATAAACGATTTCACCGATTTACACGCGTTTTCCCTTGACCAAATTTTGACCGTATCACCCTTTACCATCCAT